AATAATCTCTACAACTTTGGATCATTAAAGACCCTTTGGAGCACAGGTCAAGTGTTAAACTCCAAAATTGAGAAATTTTCAGCAAAAATGGCTCCAAAAGTTCTCATGGTAAGAGAAATTATCACCCCTTTGTTTAATTTGTACTCATAAATTCATCAAAAGCTCAAAAAATTAATTTTTTTGGTTCGTTAATGGTTATTGATTAAGTATTTGGGGAATTTGCAGGTAGCAGAGAAGCCTAGCATTGCTTTATCGATTGCCTCAGTACTATCTGGTGCTCAAGTATGATTCTTTCTTTCTGGGTCCAAAATCTTGCTTTTTTTCTTCTTCTGGTTCAGTCTGTTTCTGATGTGAATTTTTATTTGTAAAGAACTGTTTTTTATCACTTCTCATATGCTTGTAAGTTTTTGGATATAGTGTCTTAGCTAGGATTTTCACTAAGGGGTTCAAAATATGAAGAAAATGAAAGAGGGTTCAGTGTAATTTTTGTCCTCGGCCCTATCTGGCTCCTCCCTTAGTTGGACAGTAATAGTTGTTAATATGCTGAATGTGGGATAGTTAGTTTGAAAGAAAGGAAATACATGACTAGCTATGCAAGGAAGAAATTTTAGGGCTAGTTTAGTTTGCAAACTAGTTATACCAGGATTATAATGCGGGTTATATAGTATGGGGATTGTTAATGATGGAATTATTTAATGGATATATGTTTTTGAGTAGATATTTTGTTCATTGGATTAAAAATAGGATCTACAGAGTATAATATAAAACAATTTAAAGTTGGTCTTTTAAAGAACTATGGAGAAAGGTGTTTATGTCATTTGTTTGTTTTATCCGAGATTGGTATCCCATATTGAATGCGGTGTAAGAATAATACCGAACTTGAGGTGTAGTTGTTTCCCGGATGCTTATAAAGGAAAAAGCCATTCCAACCAATCGACCCTCATTGTTTAGTTTTTAGTTTTAAATTTGATTCAATTTAAGACCGACTGGAAGACTATACATTTCGATTGATTATTTCTCTGAAGTGAAAGACAACATTTTAAGAGGAAGCTACTGCTAGATTTTTGCCAGTCTTTTCCTCTGGGTTTTTGAATATATGCTATATGAGTGGCTTTTAGTATATCAATGGTAGGGTGTATATTTTCTGAAATTTCAGATTCGATAAATTGAGGCTTCCACTATTGAGAATTTCGGTGGGGGGTGGAGGGGATTGGTTGTAAGTGGAATAGTCATTATTCTTGTTATCCAAAGGTTTAAGAAGAGTTAGGGGAAACACTTGTGAGGAGAAGAAGAAAGAGAGAACAGGAAAAGAGGGTGTTTGCAGCATTGGGTCAAAAGTTTCAAAATGAAATGATTTGAAAATTGAATTTAATGGTTTCCTCAGGTATCAACTACAATGTTTATTAGAGAAAGAATTGGTAATGATGCACAGCTCACAGTCTACTTTGACAACTAATGCAGTTGCTGGAGTTGTGGCAGGAGTCATGCTGAGTAACTAATAGATTAGAGTTTCTTAAAATATTTTAGAGTATCAACAACTTTCAATTGTCTAGTGTGACTGAGCTCTATTTTAATGCACGGAGCAGGTTTATTTTCTGCGCTCTCTTGTAATGGTTTCAGCTTTCAGTTCACTAGATTCCTCCCTTATTTTCATGTCGTTATTCTGTTTGGGAAGCACCAATTTGGGGGATGTGCTTCTTGAGATTTTTGTACTTCATGTAAATGTGTTGAACAGTACCTTTTAGGTAATTGTTTGATCTACTAGTTGGTTATCCTCAGTGCCTTTGATGGGCTCTTTACACTCTCAAAATAGAAGCATCTTTAAAATCTTCTAGCTTTACACCAGCAGCTTTATTATCTTGCTTCTTTATTTCATAGACTTTGAGTGTTCATGCAATTTTGTTATATATTTGCCCCAGATGTCAACACGAAGAGGTAGTACAGAAGTCCATGAGTTCGATGCGATGTTTCTTGGATCACGTGCACATTATAAAGTGACTTCAGTGATTGGTCATGTTTTCAGGTTTCCTGTTATCCCAGATTATAACAAGCATTAATTTTGACGTGTTCTTTGGTTCAGTTAGTTCCTGTGGTTAAATATGTTTGTTCAATCAACATCTATATTATTATGTTCTCCGTCAATGTTTTGGTGACTTCGTTTCTATTTCTCTAGTTTGATATTTGTTCTCTTCAATTCCCTTTGAGCTCCTGCTCCAACTCAAAAATATGTATGAGGCTGCTTTCTGATGGGCCGAAAATTAAATTGGCAATTGACTTTTTGGTCAATTTAGTCGGAATGAAAGCCTGTACCATCTTTTGAGATAGGTGGAATGTAAAACTGATGAATCCTTTTGAAAATTGAATCCGTTAGGATGTGCTATCCTATGCATGAGTTGATGTCTAAGGATAGCAAATGCTTAGTTATTTCTTTTCTTGATGCACTCCCAATTGCCTCCTCAGTAGGAGTTAAATAGAAATATAGACCCATGAAGAATAGAGTACTAGCAATTCGTCGGTTTGACTATATATTGCGCAGCCTGGTCGATATTATGTTGCCTGTGGCTTACTTTCTTACTTACAGTTGTGTGAGCTGTAATAATCCATGTGTAACATGTTAATTTTTCTAAATGTCAATAAGAAATCTATTTAGCATTTGGAATTACACCAAAAGACGAAGTACACATGACTTACTAAAGAAAAGGAATCACGTGGAGCCTTATCCTAGGCTTCATCCAAGTGAGATTCTTTCATGTTCTGGCTTTATCTGAGGTGGGAGTGAGATTACTTCCATCTTTTTCTTTTGAAAAGTTAAATTACTTTGTTATCTTTGAATACTGCAAACCTTTCCTTTAGCTTCCCCATAAATCAGTAAGATCTTTATTGAGGTATATGTTTGAAAACCTTTTTTGGTCCTTGATGTTGTAATATAGTAAGAATATTGCTTGAGCTTCCAGCGATTGCTTTCTTTATATTTAATCCCATAACTTATTGGTTTGTTCTAGTATACAATCTGAATTTTCCGTGTCTGATAATCTAGCGTAGATTTTCCAGCAGCTTTTCAAGATTGGACAACTACAAATCCTTCAGATCTTTTCCAGGCACCGATACTTAAGAAGGAAACAAACCCCAAGGTAATATTTCTCCTTGTTCCTGTTTACCAGAGATTTTTCCATTTGAATAGCTTTTATTGTACTTTTGGCTAAGACCATCTTTATGCAGCTGGGTTGCATTTGTTTCAAGCATATAAACCGCATCTTATACTTTTGAGCTATCTACTTTTGTTTAGATCAGATATTACAATGATCTATATATTTATTTCTTCTTTTGTTTCAATAGCAAATTCTGACTGACCTTCGTATACAAGGCTCATATTTGTAGGCATCTAAGCCAGGAAGCTCGTGGTTGTACACATTTGGTGCTATGGTTGGACTGTGATCGTGAAGGAGAAAATATATGCTTTGAAGGTACTTTTTGATTGTGACATTATTATTTCATTGCAGGCAAAAACTTGTTACAATGGTCTTAGATGAATAGGCTTGGATAAATGTGTCAAGCTTTATGTCACATGGAGAGCATTTAATGGTTTGGTGTTGGTTTGAAGTACTTAAGATTTTTTGTTGATAAACTAAGAATAACAGAAGTTAAAAACAGTGATACAAATTCTGTTTTTTTGGTGGTGGTTTTTAAGTAGTACCTTAGAATCAGAGTTCTTGTAGCGTCTTTACTATCGAAAGTTAAAGGGGTGGGAGAACAATGGATGATCAATCTAAAGAAATTTTGGAATTTTAGATTTTCTGTTTAGATTGAAGAAATCATAAGACAGTAGGAACCCTTCGGGGTGGCCCAGTGGTTTGGGCTTGGGACTTCCATGTTGGAGGTCTCAAGTTCGAATCCCCTTGCCAGCGAAAACAAGGGGTTTGCCTTCTGGGTTGAGCTCGTCGCACTGGGCTTGCCTAGTGCGGGTTACCTCTCCTATATGGTTTGCGAGCTATTGCATAGGAGCGGGGGCTGCGGGTTTCCCTTGTCATAAAAAATAAAATAAAAAATCACAAGACAGTAGGAAAAAGTACAGAAGCTCAAGGGATCATGCGTGATCCCATTGACATCACTCTTGTGAAATGACATGTCATTTTTTAGTGGTTGATTTCACTGTTTTGGAAGCATCACCATGTGATTTATATAGCTCACACCTATTTCAGAATATGTCTTTTCTACAATCAATGAATCTATTGATTTGAGATCTGAACCTAGGCTTTTGAATCAAACTATCCCAAAGTGAAAATATAAAAGATCTATACCCTGAATTGACAGATAAAAGGAGCTAACATGAGGCCCTGAAAGGATCAAAACAAATTCAGGATTTAATCAGCCTATAAAACCACCAAATATTCTACAACGAGTATATATGTCTATTTATAGACAAATTGATGAACTGCACCAACATCACTTGATAGAACTTCAAATTGCCCACTTTTTGAACCTTTGTTTGGTTGCTTTTGTTCTGCTTTTTGGAATATTTCTTGGTCATAATTCTTTGTTCTTGCTTTATCTTATTGGTTCAGTTATAGAGTGCACTGGATTTCACGCAAGCGATAGTAGAAGAATTTACCGTGCTCGATTCTCTTCTGTTACTGAAAAAGATATTCTGAAGGCAATGAATAGCCTAGCTGAACCCAACAGAGATGAGGCATTGTCTGTAGATGCACGCCAAGAGATTGATTTGAAAGTTGGAGTTGCATTTACACGTTTCCAGACTAGTTATTTCAATGGGAAATATGGCAATCTTGATGCAAGGGTTATCTCGTTGGTTCTCTCCACTCTTTTCCGTTTGCCTATCACACAATACCTTTATTTATTTTTTAACTGAACTTCTTACGTGTCATTAGGAGAAATTGCCTGACAATAATGACATTCATAAATTCTCTTCCTATCGTCATAGCTGCTGCTGCTTCTACTCTGTGCTGATTGTGCTGTCTTGAACGTGTTATGTCCTTACAGACCTTGTTCTGGCGGAGTTTAATTTCAAATGACATGCTTTCTGCAATGTGTCACAGAAGAGCTCCCACATCATATTTTTTTGGTTTATTTGTTGATTGTTTGGAAAAGCATGTTTGTCTGGCTTTTTCTTTTTTTTTTCTTTGTTTCCTGCTGTTGTTTGCACTCTCTGTGTAGTCTTCAATTGTACTTGAATCATGTCTAATGGTGGATGCATTCTATTTAAAAGAAACCTTTGTTTGTATGAGTTATGACTTGCTATTATATAGCCACAAGTCTCTGTGAGTTTCACCTTTCGTAATAATATCAACCATCAAGAAATAATCGCTTTTACATGTCAATTACTTCGTGTTACTCCTTTCTTCTACAAATTATTTGTTACCATTATATTATCAAAATTATCTTAAGTCTAAATGGAACACAATCCTACTTATAATTTCAGCTATGGGCCATGTCAAACTCCTACTCTTGGGTTCTGTGTGGATCGTTACCTGCAAATCACTATGTTCAAGCCAGAAAAGTTTTGGATGCTGCATCCATACATTATGTACAAGGGGTATGAACTCAAGTTAGAATGGGAACGTAGCAGGTTGTTTGATGCTGATGTGAGTTCCTCCTAGTTTGACCTTTCAAGAGGTTTTGTCCCAAAATATCGAGTTCATGCCTCTGTTGCTAATAGCTTTTTAATTGATAGGTTTCTGCAATGTTTCGGAACAGAATAATAGAGGATGGGATTATGAAAGTTGTTCGTGTATCTGAAAAACTGGAATCCAAAGCTCGTCCTTCTGGTTTAAACACAGTAAATCTTCTGAAGGTTGGTAATATAGGCTTGCTACCTATTTTTATTATTGATGTATTTTATTCTATGCTGCTCGAATCTTTCCAAAAGTAATGCATTTTTGAAGGATCCGACATGGGTGCGGAGGCATCATTAATACACACTATTAACAAGGTAGGAGGCGTTTACCTGATTCCACACTGGTTATAGCTGTTTTAACTTTTCTGAAAGTGAAATGCGTGTGGTAACTTTTATTTGTTGTTCCTTCCACATTTGGCACCGGCCACGTGTTATCTCATCCGCTATCATTAGCTACATAGTGGCTTACTGAGACCAAAGAGATTCTTTTATAGATTTTGTGATTCCATATTTGTTAAAATACTAGAAATAAAATTGCACAAAGAAGCCAATGTGGCAAGGGTGTGGATTGCAAGTGCCCACTGCCCATATTTAATGTTTTTATGAGTGTTGACCTGTGAAAACTCATATCTTAAGTAGCATCTCAATCACATCCTGCTAATTAATCATCTATGCATTACTAACAAGGAAATATTAGTTGTCTATACATTTGAAGTTTGTCTACATCTGTAACTTAAAAGGCTTGTCTGATTAACATGTAGCTCCCAGGTGAAAGTAGAAATTGTTTCTTTTAACAATTCTAGAGCATGTGTCATCTTAAACTGTTTCTGCCTGGAGTCATTGTTCGTGATGTTGCCTTCTTCTCTGCTCTAGACTTTCAAGTAACTAGATGCCCTTTATGTGTTGAAGAAATGAAGCTCCATCTTTTGTATTTTCATGTATACGGGTCAATATTTTGTTATCTTTCTAAGACCTCGTACTCAGAAGTCCATAGATCTTAACCCTTGAGACTTTACATGTTTCTTTAATGATTTAAATGTATTTTCCTTCCACTTACTTCGGATCAAATCTTCTGGTTCTGATTTTCAAAATTTTCAGGTAGCTTCAAGTGCACTGGGTTTTGGTCCCCAGTTAACTATGCAATTGGCTGAGCGTCTGTATACTCAAGGTTTTATCAGGTTTTCCTCTGTTCTTTGACTATAGTGTTCTTCTCTCACATATCCGCACTTTTGTCTTTAATATTTTCACTCAATTTTCTTGCTTGAGAAAGTTTTAAAAACTTGTCCTATTCTTTTTCTTCTGAATACTAGAAAATATACATATGAGATTACTTGCTCAGTAAACTTCGCTTATGTTGTATTAGTACTGAGTGATTGAGTTCCGTAATGCACCAATGTCAGTTTAAAGCTCAACATTGCACTAAAAGTATATAGTATCTTTGTTGCATCATAAGTGCACCTATGGAACTGATGAAAATAGCTATGTTCTCATCTTAGTAGAATTCTTATTGTTTTCCTTAATTTTAGATTTCTATCGCTACCTGTTGTTTCTTTAGCCTCGGTATCTTATTATCTTGTTTTTGTTTCTGCTTGTTGCTCCTACCTTTTTTTCCCACTGTTCATTCAGTTGAGGGTCTATTTGATACAACCTCTCTACCTTCTCAAAGGTAAGGCTAAGGTTAGAATGATGTTTGATTGGTAAGATAAAATTCATTAGAACTCACCAAGGGATGCAATCCTTAGAGAGAATTAAAAATTAACAATCAGACAGGATACACTGATTTTATACGATCAAAAGCTTTATCTATAAAAAAATTAACTTTCATTTTTATGAATTGTTTGAACAAGTATGATAAGCATGTTTGGATGAAAGGACACCTTATTTTGTTTTAGGCCATAGTGAAGGTAATGGATAGACTTCTTAAAAGAGAGCCAAGGATTTTGAGATTCCAAATTGGGGAGTGGCCATTTATGTTTAATTTTTACAACAAAATTGTTCAAATTCTTAATTGGAAATTCATAAATTTCAATTACCTTTCAGTGAATTCTTGTAGGACTTTGCATGTAGTTCATGTATGAGTTTGACATTATGAAAAATTGTACTTCCTGAAACTTCCAATGCATTTTACAGATTATCCCTTTTCTTTTTGGCTTATTTCTTCTTTTCCGTTCCTTCAGCTATCCACGTACAGAAAGCACAGCATATCCTTCTTCTTTTGACTTCAAAGGAACACTAGGGGCGTTGGTGCATAATCCTGTATTTGGTGCTTATGCGCAAAAGTTTTTAACTGAAAGTTATAATAAGCCACGGGCAGGAACTGATGCAGGCGATCATCCTCCGATAACTCCGATGCGTTCTGCTAGTGAGGATAGTTTGGGGAATGATGCATGGAAACTGTACCAGTACATATGCCAGCATTTTTTGGGAACTCTCTCTCCAGATTGCAAATATAGAAGGTTGAGCTTTATTTCTTGATTAACGTCTTAGTAACTCCTCTTGCTTTGAGCTTATTTACATATCTTTTAAACTAACCAACAACTTGGATAACTCTAATACTGATTTCTTCCTGGAACATGTCAAACAGCTCTTTTATGTATTCATATTATAGATCCAATTCAGATCCTGCTTTTAGTGTTTTCTCTTTTCTTGTAACTAGCATAGTACGTGCCAATTATAGAGGACTGTAACAAGTTCAGATCTTGGCACTATTAATCTACTTGTCTTTCAAGATTCTTAGTTTCTGGCTGAAAAGTTTAAGTCATGTAAATTGGGTATTTTCTCAGGATAAAAGTTGAATTTGAAAGTGGTGGAGAGCAATTTCAGTGCGTTGGGCAGCTTGCCACAGTCAAAGGATTCACCTCTATTATGCCATGGCTGGCTATTAGTGAGAAGAATCTTCCTGAGTTTGCTGTAGGAGAGAAAATCGAGATTTCTAAAGTTGAACTAGATGAGGTATCACATAATCTGTTCAATTGAACTTCTCATTTGTTGTTCAGCTCTGGAGTAAAGTGATAGTCTTTGCACTTCAGTAGTATTTATTGGTCCATTAATTAATTCTTTTGATTTAGTGTAGCAACTACGCCTCAATCTCAAGTTAGTTGGGGTCGGCTATATGAATCCTCAGTATCCATCATTTTACCTGACACTTTGTTCTTTCTTTTGCTATGAAATGACTTGAAACACGTGCAACTTACCGAGTACATGACCCTATATAGAAACATATGGAGGTCGAGGATTAGGGTAGAAAGTTAGTAGGTAGTCATGCAGTCTAGTTTCCTTTATCAGTGGTATCTGTACTTTTTTTCTCTTACTTTCTTATACTTCAATTTCATTATTGCCTGATGTCTCCTTTGCTTCGTTTATCGTATTATTTGTTGGTGCTACTAGTATTCAATATTCATTACTATTCGCAGAAGTCTTTTTACTTCGCTTAGTTTTTCTTTGAAACTTGTAGGGGAACACTTCGCCTCCGGATTATCTCAGCGAAAGTGAGCTGATCTCTTTGATGGAGAAACATGGTATTGGAACAGATGCGTCAATCTCTGTGCATATTAACAACATATGCGAACGCAATTATGTCCAGGTTTTGCTATATGCATTGATTTCCAATTCTAGCTGCTGTAGATTGTCCTCTCTATTGCTTTCTGTAATGGTTCTTTTGACGTGAACCAATCTTCTACTAGAAATTAGACTTCTGAGTTTGGCTGAGTCAAATTGCAGGTACAAGCCGGGCGGCGATTGGCTCCAACTCCCCTGGGTATCAGCTTGATAAGAGGGTATCAATGCATAGATTCTGATCTCTGTTTGCCTGACATACGAAGTTTCATTGAGCACCAGATCACTTTGGTAGCTAAAGGTCAAGCCGATCATTCAATGGTTGTGCAGCATGTACTAGAACAATTCAGAAGGAAGTTCAGTTATTTTGTTAAGCAGGTATAAGATATTAAGCTCTTACGTGATGGTTGATGGCGCTGTGCTACCTTCTTTCTTTCCAAACTAGAAACAAGCCGATGTTCACAAATAGACGACTGATGACGCTTTTTTTCTTAACTGAATCTGTAACATGCTGATGCTCACTGATAAAAACTTAATCATGAGCTTCCAAATACATCTCTTAAGAACTAGTCATGCAAACATCACCTTGCAGTTGTGGATCTGCCCTGCTGGTTTCCGTTACTGTTTTTCCTGAAAAGTTACTGGACATAAAATAATATCAGACTGATCCTTAGAAACGAGTGTTTTTGGTATAGAAACAACTACAACAACATACCCAGTGTAGTCCTGCAAAGTAGGATCTGGGGAGGGTAGAGTGTACGGAGACCTTACCCTACATCAGTTAGATCCTCGGCTCAAGGAAAAAGTCCAAAGCAGCCTGAAAAAGTAAAAACTTTATAGTCTAAACAAAAATTCAGGATAAATTACTGCTATTAACACTAGAACCTAGCTTAGAATTAAGGGTAAAAAAGTTCTGAAGCATGTTTTGCACTTTATCCCACTTTTCTCTCATTTTTGGCCCATAAATTCTTTAACTTGTATTATCTAATGCTAATTATTCACTGAATCTCGTGTCTGGCTTCATGTAGATTGATAACATGGACGCATTATTTGAAGCCCAATTTTCTCCACTCTCCGACTCTGGACGTCTCCTCAGTAAATGTGGCAAATGCTTGCGATATATGAAATACATATCTACTCAACCAGCTCGACTGTACTGTGGTACCTGTGAGGAAGTCTATTACGTACCTCAGAAGGGTACAGTCAAGGCAAGTGTTTTACTGTTATAAAGTTACTTTCGACCCTTATGAATTAGAACGGAGAGAACTACTATATATGCCCTTTTATGTTGCAGCTTGAGAAGTTGGTAGTTTCTCTTTCGATTAGCACCTTATTGTATGATCTCACCCAAATTCTCCGACTAAACGTTGAACTTCTTTTACTTTTTTTCAGCTATACAAGGAGCTTACTTGCCCCCTTGATAATTTCGAGCTGTTACTATGTAGCATGCCCGGTCCAGAAGGCAAGTCGTTCCCTCTCTGTCCTTATTGCTTCAACTGTCCCCCGTTTGAAGGCATTGATACATTTTTTGGCGCTCCTAAAACTGGTGATTCAACCAAGTTGGGAAAGGGAGTCGGAATGCCTTGCTTCCTCTGTCCTCACACCACATGTCCACATTCTGTGATCGCACAAGGCGTTTGTGCCTGCCCAGAATGCAGTGGTACACTTGTTCTTGATCCTGTCAGTGCTCCAAAATGGAGGCTCTACTGCAACATGTGCAATTGTCTTGTTTCCTTGCCCGAAGGAGCTCATCGGATTTCTACAACTCAAGATAAGTGTCCTGAATGTGATTCAACTATCATAGAAGTCGATTTCAACAAGAAAACAACGCCCTTAAAAGATGGAGCTACACTGCATAAGGGATGTATTCTTTGCGACGAGCTGCTGCATTCACTTGTGGAAATGAAACATGGAAGATCATTTTCTAGACATGGCAGGAGAGGACGAGGTAGAGGAAGAGGAAGAGGAAGAGGACGGGGCAGCACCAAACAACAAGACCCAAAAATGAGTTTCCGAGATTTCTAAAGTGTTGTTCGATCTTACTAGAAATGTGCGTTATGATTTAGATTTTCTCATAAAATTTGTTAATTGGAGATCATTTTGTTGAGCCGACACGTTACTTGTTTGGGACTGAGACGCAGTTGTTGTTGGAGGTCATTTTGTACAACTAGGAGCATACATATGCTGGTTTATTTAGAGAAAAGAAATAAAATATTGACAGTTGCACTTCTAAATCTATTTTAGTGAATATTCTATCAACAATGGAATATTAATACCCTAAAATTTCCATAAATCTATCTGATTATGATCTTATTTCAAGCTCTATATATTCTATAACAAACAATATATCATCAAGATTTATATCGGCATAAATATGAGTTCTCTATTCTTAACTAGATGTTTCAATTTCGAGCATATTAGTGGGTATGAAAGAAAACATGTGAGTGGGAGAGCGCTTCTCTTATTAATGGGTCTTATACTACACAATCCAAATTAATTGAGGCCTTAATGTAGATATCGATCATCGAGTGATTTTTATATAAAAAAAATAAATACAACAAACAAGTTGACTATTTTCTTTCTTTCTCAATTCCATTTTCTTTGGAAGGATATTGAGGTGGGGGGTGGGTAGATGGGGGACCTGTTATTGTGGTCCAATTTTGAGACAAGAAATTATGTTACGTTACATAGCATGGGAATCTTATTATTATGTCAACAATTGGAAAAAAGAAAAAAGCTATTGGGTGAAGAGAAATGATAATATTAAATACCTAAATACATAAAAAGAATAATAAAAAGGGATAGTAATATAAAATAGTATATAAAAATGTAACTCATAACTTAAAAATCCAATTTTAAAACCACAACACTTCCTTTCATTTCTTAAAGCAAGAAAAAAAAGACAAAAAGGAAAAAGAATCTAATCACGTCACCTCATACAAAGGTCCCTACTCTACCTTATGAATATACATTTCGTTGTTTATATCAAATTAATAAATGTATGTCACGTATTTATATATACACTTTTGACATTTACTGATGGTTAATTACTATGCATTCACACTTCGTTAAATAATTTACAAGATTTGATATAAACATCAAATACGAATACGTATTTATAAGTGTCACACTCCAAAAGCCCATTTGCTACTACATATAAGGCTACAAAATGCCTTTATGTCTTGTTGCTATACTCCTTAACTTATTCCATCCCAACATTATATCTCTCACTAGTTGTAGTTGGTGACCACAAGTTCTCATTTTCCCAAATAAGATTGAAATTTCAACAATTTCAAGAACATTAGACATGGGATTGTGTGAATCATGTTGTGTTATAGTCCTATGTTTTATGTTCTTACTTTTGAATCCTCAATTTTCATATTCCATGTCATGTACAACACAAAAGTTCACCAACAACAAATTGTATCAACATTGCAATGACTTGCTACATTTGAATTGTTACATTCATTGGACTTACAATACAAAGGTTTCTTCTTTAAATTTAGCCTTTGTAGCTACTCCTACTAAGTCTGATGGATGGATTTCTTGGGGAATCAATCCAATTGGGACAGGAATGGTTGGTACACAATCGTTGATCGCGTTTAAAAATCTCAACGATACTATAGTTGTGAAAACCTTCAAGTTGAACTCGTATAAATCTATCGTGCCAGGGGAACTTGAGTATCGCGTTTCGAATATGGAAGCAATGTATAGTAATGAGATGATGGTAATTTTTGCTAGTGTAGAATTACCTAAAGGAATGAGAGAGTTGAATCAAGTATGGCAAGTTGGAAATTTAGTGTTAAATGGGAAATTTCCAGGAATTCATGATTTTCAACTTGAGAATTTGAATTCCAAAGGAAAACTTGATTTGATGAAAGGAAAAAATGTTAATAATGGTCTTGAGGATTCTATGGTCAAGAATAGAAATGTAAGTTTTTCAATCAACACCCCTATTTTAGTCTTCTTTTTTAAAAAAAAATAATAATAATGATGTTCGGAACATATGCATGTTACTTCTCATCAGCAAGGTATCAAACAACTTTTTTCCTAAAAAATATTGTGACAGATGAGAAGAAATCACCTTATTAGTTTTGTCTTTATTGCTAGAATTTGAGCTATATGGTCTCCAGTGATTTTCATCCTACTTCATCGACCTATTTCATTTTCTTGTATAACGATGGTGTCCAGATCAATTTATGTGTTACATCACTTATTTCACTTATCGAATATTAAGTAACTTTGAAAAAATCATTTTATTCCTATTGGAATTTGAACTCTGATCTCTCGCGACAATTATCTCAGTTCAACAATCACTAATTCATTTGATGCAAAGAGAAATACCTATTTCATTTTTTAGTATTTTTTTTTTCTAATATTTGATTTTTGGTGAAACAGATTCATGGAATTTTGAATATTGTGAGTTGGGGAATTTTATTTCCAATTGGAATTATGATTGCAAGGTATCTAAGAACATTTGTGGATCCAATATGGTTTTATGTTCATGTGACTTGTCAAATATCATCTTATATTATTGGAGTTTCTGGTTGGGCAACTGGTCTAAAACTTGGAAGCCAATCCAAAGGAATTATGTACAATTCCCATAGAGATTTTGGTATTGCCTTGTTTTGTCTTGCAACTCTACAGGTATATTCCTAAATCCCAAAAAAAAATTCAGAGTTTAAGTTATATGCATCGTCAGTAAAGATTTTTTTTTTTACACCAGGTCACTCAAAAGATATATCTACAGGTAATTAAGACTACATAAAAAGTGAACAAATATATCATAATCTTAAAAATAAGTTGCTAAGGTGGTAAATACCATCTACCATTTTGGGTTTGAGTCACAAGGGAGCAAAAAAAAAAGGTTGGAGTTGCTATGTAGTTAAAGAAAGAAAGAGGCAAATCACTATGATATATACAACAGGTAAAGATGACCCGATAGTGTAAGAAAATTATAAATTAACGGTGTATATAGCCAACTATTACACTAACGCCAAGACAAGGTAATTATGCTCGTCAACGTCTAAATAAATGAGAAAAAATCATCTAGCTCTGTTGTCTTTATTGGATTCATATATAATCATGATCTTACATACTTTTCATTCACTTTATTGATTGTTAGGTCATATATCGTCATGTCCTTGATGTTTGTATTCTACAAAATTGATGCCAATTTTTTTTCCAAAATTATGAAAATGTAGGTATTTGCACTATTTCTGAGGCCAAAGAAGGAACACAAATACAGATTTTATTGGAATATGTATCATCATGGAATTGGATATGGTGTACTTGTTCTAGGCATCATTAATGTATTTAAAGGTCTTGAAATTTTGCAACCAGGAAGCAAATGGAAATTGGCTTATATTATTTTCCTTTCAATTATTGGAGGAATTGCTCTTATTTTAGAAGCAATTACTTGGACAATTGTTCTTAAAAAGAAGCCTGGAAAATCAAATATTAACAAACTTTATGATGGACAAAATGGAGGACAACAACCTCTCACTTGATTTTTTTTTTTTCCATATATATGTTTGTTTTTTCTATGGTTGGGTTGGGTACTATTTTATTTTATTTTATTTTTTTGGTTGGAACTGAATTTGTTTTAATATTTTCTTCTTGTGTAGAATCCATACTCTTATGAGAGTATTGTTGTTGTATTGGTTCATTTTAATATTTATATAGTAAGGAATATAAATATCGTTGCTTTTCAAACAACAAATTACTAATCCAAACAAATGTTACGATAGAAACTCACTAGGTGTTTGGTATTCATACATTGAAATCCGATTAAATCTTTATGGGAAAAACACTCCCAACAGACATTCGAGATCTCTAATTAAGGATAAATAAATCTGAAACAAATATTCCACCGCAACCATACCCCATGTTAATTGCCTAAACCTTTTAGCATTTTAGTTTAGTCTTCTATTCTTGATGTACAACTTTAACGTATGACAAAATGAATAAATTATGGACAATAATCATAACTTCATTTTTTTTATAAGTAAAGTAAGTGTTAGGTTAAAATAAAGTCTATTTAACCTAACAAGAAAGCTATGTGTACTCATGAGAATTATGGTTTTAATTACTTTTCACTTCCTTGATAGTAGGAGACAATGTTTACTTGTCAAGTTATTACTCTAAGAACCTTAATTAAATAGAAATTATTAGGTATAATTAAAGTAAAAGAAATAATTATTGTCCCTTGCATGCATAACAAGCAATGATTTCAGAAGCATTAGTAATAGTAATAGGCAAACAATGCATATTCAGTTATAGGCGGAGCCAAAAATTAAAATTTATAAATTCGAAATTCTAATTCTCTAAATACAAAAATTCAAACTAAAGTTACGTATTAAATTCAATTGAACATACAACTTAACTTAGACTTTGAAGAAGTGTAATTTTTGGATCAAAATTCCGAAACGAAAAAATATTTTATAGCCAAATAACAAAAAGGCCAATTTTATTTATTGACGAATTAACAATAGGTTATCATATGCTACAAAAGGAGTGTTACGCTAAAATAATTTTCATTTAGAAAAAGTGTAATGCAGAAAGATTTGGTCACGACAAAATATTTGTGGACCCATCCATTGTTATCAACATAAATATATACTACAAGATATCACAAGGTTAATAAGTGAAATTAATTAACTTAATTATTCGAATCATTTCAAATTAAAGTGGAATTAGTGACCACTTGTGAATGTTAAAAGTACTTTTCCTAACTATAGATATACTAGTCACGGGAAAATATTTGATTAAAACAAGTAATTACAAATTAAGCTATGAGTTTAATCAGCACAAACACTAAATGTTAGTTGTAACGGCTCAGATCTAACTATCAATGTATTGTTCGCTTTGATATAACTTTTTGTAATTTCACGATTATGTCCTTTTGGGCTTTAACTCAAAAGACACATTCATTTGATTTCTTGAATCCGTCTTATGGTCCTTAATTTCCCTCTTTGTGTTAGGCAAGTTGAAAAAACTAATAAAAATTTTCATCAATCAATTTGATTTATATACTTCATTCAAATTATCGTTAGTTTTAGATGAATTGAATTTGACGAATTCAAATAAACTAAATTAATAAATAAATAAATTATTAATCTCTCGTGACTATAGTTAAACTTGACACCTATCAACATACAACAAATTATAAATGGGACCCAATTTGCTTAATGATTTAATGGAACTCATAATTATGTGTAGGTAAAGGACCCAATAGCTTAATGATTAATCTTTTTTTTTTTCTCTTTGGTCTTTTGTTAGTAAAAGCATTAATTTGAAAAAGGATGGCTTTGGTTTTATAATTTATATTATGTTTTCTTGTGTGCATGAGTCATTTGCATTTTTGCCCCTCATCTGTGTTGGTTTTTAATTTTTATCTTTCGTAATAAATATTTTTTTTGTGAAATGTAAGTTTATATTTTGTATAATAATATCCCATAAGTTATATATAGGCATAGCTTCAGTTTTAAAAAAATGTCCCACAATATATAAGTTCGATTGCTAAATGATAAAAATTAAAGATCAAATCATTTAAAAGAAAAAGTACAATTTCATGTTGTAGCTTTATGAAGTCAAATATTGGTTGATAAAATGAACTTAACTGCACAATTCAGACACGTAAACAACTTTCAAATAAAATACTTGAGATGCATGTAGTCTGCTAGCATTAAATATGTGTCCCCATAAAAACTATTTCCTCGTACCTAATGTTTACATCGAATCAAACAATTTATCGTTTAAGAGTAGTAAAACTTAAAAGTGAGAATACATATGCTTAAACAGAGTTAAGAGAGATTTATACAATTCACTGTGTTAGTGAATTGAATAAATACTGAAAAATCTCTTAATCTTGAGCCAACAATAACAAAATGTATAACCAGTTAAAACATGGTTCATCTTGAGCAACAATTGCTCCAAGATCGTTTCGATCCTTCTCCGTCGTCTTTTACAAGGTTTACCCTGTTAATAGATAACTCCGCCTTGTAGGAATCCGAATTCAAGACCTTTCGGCTGACATTGCTATAGATTTCACGGATAACAATCTCGAAAGCCTTATTAACGTTTGTAGAATCTAACGCGGACGTCTCCATGAAGAACAATCCTTCTGCTTCTGCAAGCTTCGCGCCTTCTTCAATACTAACGTCTCTAATGTTGTCCAAATCACATTTGTTTCCTACCAGCATCTTCGCGACTGTTGTATCACAATGAGCTGCAGGGTTCATCAGATTCAAAAAGTTTAGTAATTCTGCTGCCTCAGACACATACATTATTATGTGAAATAGAAAAAACGAAAATTACGAGACAGAAAGTTTCAACCGAAGTAGAGAATGGAAAATTCACTTGTCAGTTAGTAATGACTACATTCCCTTATATATACAGTTCGTGACATATTCAATCGCGCATCAAATTAATCACAAATTAAAAGTAGAGGTGTAAGCATATGGACGATCATAGTTTCTAATTGTACCAGCTGAGTATGTCTGCCCGAACCGATAGCAAATTAACTTCTCTTTCTAAATGTCTCTTTATGGATTAGATTAAATTCATAATGAAACTTCAATCTCCCTAATATCTTCTTTTTACTTGCACAGCAGCACACTACAAATAAGTTGCTAGCACTTTCCCACTAGAATCAAAGAAACGGTTAATTTGGACAGTCTGAAGTACACGTTTCAACACATTTGAGAAAGACCGTCCATCTTTAGCTACGTGCATTCGGGCTCAATACTGATATCCATATCCCTTTTACTTCTTATTCTACCAAAAGGTCCCAAGAATTTCGCCACATGTTCAAGTGAAGATGCATATCTAAGACAATTAACTAGCAAAACCATCAGTTCAAATGTTCAATGCATAATCACCAAATATGCAAGCGATTAGACATTTTCCATCAGGCGAAATAAAGAACAGGCTATTTTTACCCCAAAATTCGAAAAAAATGAACATCTACATGTATCCAGGGAACAAAAATTGGAGAGTAACAGGCAAATAAAACATACACTACTAAAGCACCAAATGTTATGCCCATATTAGAAGAACTTATGGATCAACGATAGTTGTGACAGAATAATTTGCAGTGGAGTTCTTAAATTAGGTGAGCAACAATTCTAGCCTCATCTAACATGACACAAAATATGCTTGAAAACTAGATCCTAGTTGCTCGGAGATGAAGACCCTCATGAAATTCTAGGTATTTACCAAGTGAACATTGACTAATTACAAAACAAAAAACAATCTTTCACATGAAAATCCAATATTTAGAAAATTCATAATAAGTAGAATAGACACACATTTGCATTTTCACCCGTCTCATTTCCAAAAGGTACAATTGAATACCACATGCTCAATCGAAGTCAAATTTCTCTATAACGACGTCGTTTGGTCGGATATATTTTGGTTGCTATAGTGAGATGTTGTTATAGTCTTCTAGTTATAGAGAACATATAATATAACATACTATGAAATCAGATCTATAGAAAGCTTGGCCATTTTGGCAAAGTATTTTTACAGAGGTTGACTATTATAGAGAATTAGAGATGTCAATATCAATGATCAAAACTAGAAGCAAAATCATTTATCGTAATCTCTTAACAAAAATATTATGTATTTTCACCGATCTGTTACATTTCCAAGTCTCTTATTTCCCATGTATAGCAGCAATGTAAAACTTTAGAACGAAAAATGAAAGCAGCTTTTTTACCATGTGATACTGCTAAATTCTGTTATTAAAAAAATATGACACAAAAAAATTACTTATGTTTTCGCCCATTGATTCTTCTATATACACAAAAAATTCCTTGTTTAAGCCCACTGGTTCTTCTATATACACACAAATACAAAAAAATTCTTCCTGTTTTTGCCCACTGGTTCTTCTCTATACACAAAAAAAACAAAATATTCCTCCCATTTTCCAGATGACGCAGAAGAAAGACAGCGGTTCTCTCAGATGAGGTGTGATATAGGGGTGTGAGGAAGATGTCATGGGAAAAGTGCACGGCTGAGATCAGAGATCCAGTCAGAGGAGAAGCCACTAGCTTGGAACCTTTGATACACTAGAGAAAGCAGCAAGGGCTTACGATGCGGTGGCAAGGTTGTTTTGAGGCTAGAAGGCCATCCCTAATTTTCCTGAGGATGACCACCATAACACCAAAGATTTTCTCAGATTTGAGAGGATATGATTGGAATAACTATTATTATCAATGACATTCTTAAGATTAAGCTTCTTGAGAAACTCGTTGGTATTTTGGGGGTTATCCTCAGGAAATTAGTTGATGACCTTGTAGCCATGAAACAGCCTCACCTCCGCATCGTAAGCCTTAGCAGCTTTCTCAGGCATATCGAAAGTCTCAAGCCAGCGGATACACCTCTGGCTGGGATCTCTGATATCAGCCGTGTACTTTCACCATAACGTCTTCCTCACCCCCTATAACGCACCTCATCTCGAAAGGACCACCGCTTTTCTTCCACATCAGCTGCAACGGAATGAATTTTTTGTATTTTTGTGTGTATAGAAGAATCAGTGAGCAAAAACAGAAGAAGGAGGGTGGTTTATATTGCTGCCTCTCAAGGGGAATTTGTGTGGTCCACTTAATTACATGCAAATATAGTAGATTCTTTTAAATCCTGAAAATGACTTACATTCCAACTTCAATATTTATTAGATTAGATATACATATTACAGTAAGATTTTTTTTATTTATGTTACAGAATCTGAATAATAATGTAAATAGATAACATAAGATTTATTTATTTATGTTACAGAATCTGAACAATAATGTATATAGATAATATAAGATTTTTAATTTATGTAACAGAATCTGATAAATAGTAATGTATATAGATAATATAGCTGATTTTTAGGAATTTGAATATTTAGTTACCATAATCTTATTCTCTTCATGTATTTATATCATTATACTCTTTAAGTAATATACAAGTTATTCTTCATACCTTATGAATTGCATGGTATAAGAGCCAGGTCAATCCCCGCTTGGGCTCCTAATCCACAATCTAGTTCGGTCTGGGCGTGAATGGGTGTTAAGAGTGGATAAAGTCCGACATTGGTTGGGGAATGGATTGGCGGACAATTTATATGGACTTGGCAATCTTTACAATTTACTTGCCAAACATTAGAGTAATAAATTAAGTTCTTTTCTAAAAAAAATGTTTTCTTTACTATATCAAAGACACTCTTAGTTAGTTAGCGGCATATTCAACGTTTTACTTTGAGACGTGGGGAATGGTACATACACATTTGTACCTTCCATTACCTGACTGTTGTTATCTAACTGCATGCCCTATTGTCTTCTTCTACTATACAGTGGTATGTTACTAATGTTCTCCTCCCAGAGTTGAGATACAATTAATTTGACATGTCATCTATGCATCCATGTTAGCAATTGACAAATATACAACACTGCTGAAACAATTTTAACCCTTAATGATAGCAGTTCAGGTGAACCAATCTGAAATATAAGGTTTATTCCTATCTTTTTGTAACTTATGCGTTTTTCAATACATTTTGAAAAGAAAAATAAGATCTTGCAATCTAAAATTTGGTGAATTCAGGATCACCATTGATATCATATCAGTTTTACTTCTTCCATAAAGTTCAAAGAGCTTTGACACACGTGTGCAGATGAAATGCAGATCTAGTACATTGAACTACCAATGCTACAGAATGTATAGTTAGCATGAGTAGCTAAGCACTCGATAATTTCAGCCAGACGAAAAAAGAACATGTTCCATTGAATACAAAAATAATGAACAAGTAAGACATACTAGTAAAACGCCAGTTTCACCAGAACTTATGGATCCACAACAATTGTGGAACGATTTCTCATAGAGTTCATAAATTAGGTGAGCAACAATTCTAGCCCTCATCTAACAAAATGGACATGACACCAACATATGCTCGAAACCCAGATCCTAGCTGCGCAGAAATGAAGACCTTGCTAAAAGTATGATATTTTGAAAGACACCATAGCAAATGATATAATTAAACACAGCCTTTCTCATGGAATCCCTTTACTAAGAACATCCAAAAATAGCAGAATCAGACCTACATTTTACTATCACCCCAGTCTCATTTCCAGTCTAAAAGGTACACCTAAGTCCCCCATTTCCAAATAGATGCCAATATCAATCAAAACAACAAGCAATAAGCAAATCCATTTATCATAATCATTTGAAAAAAGAACTAAGTATGTTTTATTTTACCATGGGATACTTCTAAATTCTGTTATTTTATTATATCTTTTATCTAAGGACTCCGAGATGTATGTCAGTATCTTGTCATATAAAGAAAATTTCACACAGGCACATGCCCAACTTTCCCTTCATAAACACAAAGACAAAGATCACAACCAAAAAGAAAAATCAAATTTTAACAAAGTACAGCTGATTTACTTGGGTCTGAGACTTATCAGCTAAGAACAGACCAAAAGAACACACACCCAAGATACTCTTTTACAGGGAGAACATAGGTAGTTACTTCAATTCTATTTTACAGGACACTTTTTTCAATACAAAGATTGAAACTTTTCTATAATTAGAAGCTACCTAAATTTAATTAACAACATATTCTTTAAGTAACATGACAAAGACCACAAGATTATAAGAATCTTTTTTATGTATCAAAAAGTTGCTATCTTTCCTAGCATCCAAGGGTATGACCTAGTACTCAATGAACTAAATTGAGAATCATGAGGTCTCATGTTCAAATTCCAGCAAAAGAAAAAATACTACGCGATTTCTTTTCATTTGTTCAAGCCTCTGTGTATAGTGTGTATAGTACAGAGAACCCGGTACTTGAGTTAGTTAGAGGTAGCGAGTACCTAGAAGATTCAATGAGGTGCATAACAAGCCTAGTGCTCGATGAACTTGTACATACAACATACCCGGTGCAATCCCACAAGTGATGTCAGGAAGTGTTCAATGAACTAGATTGAGAAATAATAGGTGATTTCTTCTTATGCCTCGGCGGACAAAGTCACCCGATAACTATGCTATGTTGTTGGGAGATAGCAGATACCTAGAAGAGTTAATCGAGGTGCATAACAAGCTAGCGTTAACATCAAGGTTATAAAAAAAGTTTCTGTGATTTCTTCTCATGTCTAGGCGGACATAGTTACCCTATAGCTATGCTAGGTTGTCGGGAGATAGCAGATACCTAGAAAGAGTTAATCGAGGTGCATAACAAGCTAGCATGAACATCACCATTATAAGAAAAAAAAAGCTGCTATCTTTCCTAACACTTAACGATAAGACCTAGTGCTCAATGAACTAGTAGATAGAATACACACCATATCCGGTGTAATCCCACACATGAGGTCTGCAAGTGCTCAATGAACTAGATTGATAAGTAATAGGTGATTTCTTCTCATGCCTCAGCAGACAAAGTTACCCTATAGCTACACTATGCTGATGGAAGTAGCACATATCTAGTGAAATTAATCAAGAAGCACAAGCAAACTAACTCAAACACCACGGTTATAAAAAGAGTGAAGGGTCAAAAACACACCTAAAGTATCCCGATTGTTTGAGTTTCATACCTGAACTAAACACACCTCAACTATCCGTTATCCCCTTTTACTACCTAAACCATAGTGATGTTTGTGTTTTGATAAACAGTCAATGATAGTACAGCTAAAAAACTAGTAAAAAGTAAAAAAGTTTCAATCTTTCTTATAAAAATGAAAAGAGGGGGTGGGGTGTATGAGAAATAACTTACTATTGAGCTCATCAAGCCACCTAGTAACACTTTCAAAAGTACTCCTCCGACTTATATCATACACAAGGAGTGCACCAAAAGCACCACGATAATAAGCAGAAGTAACAGCTCTAAACCTTTCTTGTCCAGCAGTATCCCAAATCTGAGCTTTAACTTCTTTCCCATTAATTTCAAGAACTTGGGTCTGAAATTCAACTCCAATAGTAGCTTTAGAATGCAAATTAAACTCATCCCTTGCATATCTTGACAACAAATTTGATTTCCCAACTGCTGAATCCCCTATTATTACAATCTTGAAAAGATACTCTTCAACATCATCATCTGATGAATCCATTTCAGGTCAAACTTTGTTTTAGTAGATTTTTTTTTTTGTTTTTTTGGGGATGTTGGGAGAAAATGGAAGATGGGTTGTGGGAGAAAATTGAAAAAAGGAGAATGATAATGAGTGGACCTTGGGCTATGGCATGTGTTGTAGCAATAAATTTTATGACTTGCGCCAGGAAATGCGCCACTTTCTCCTCTTTTCTATGTTTTCCTTTTACATTGAAATGGGTTTCATTTCACCGACAAAATTATTATTCTTCCTTTGATTTTATATTCATACCTCAACAACAATATACCTTTGATTGTTTCGATAAATGTGATCAAAAGAGGATAGAGCGTATGTTAATTTATTTTTATGTAAGGAGGTGAATAGAAAAGATGTTGATAGACTTTCGATTCAAGAAAAACTAATCTAAAGAAAGCATGATAAACAAATTTAGGAGGGAAAAGAGTAACTATATAAAATAGTGTAACAGTTGAAGTTCATGAGATATAGTAATAAAAATCGAAGGACAAGATATTATAGAAAAAATACTATAATTGGTAGTAAAGAATGATAACCAAGACAACATTTTACTTCCTACAATCCTTCTATAGCTGGAGTCCTTCACAACCTTTTATTTAAGATTAGATTTTCGATAAGTTCTATAATTGTGTCATGCGCTAACTAATCATCATTTTGGATCCAAGGCTTCTTCACTCTACTTTTATTTCTCCTGAAATCCTTCATAGTCAATCTCTCATATTTTCACATTGAGTGTTAGTGGCATCTCATTTTGAAATGCCTGAACCATCATTATTTTACTTTCCGCTTCGTATCCTTCATTGATATGAATTCTATTGCCTCATATATCTTTATTTCTAATTTTAACTTTCTTTGTGTACCATGCACATTCATCTAATATCTTTATTTCTTCCACTTTCACATTCTAAACATGAAAGTTTTAAATTGTTATTTATTTATTTAAAAAATAAAGTTTTTCTTCAAGATTGTGCCATAAATAAGGCATATGAATTTATGGGAGGTTTATCAGGATATAGAGTTTTAAGAAATGAAATTATTTAAACTTTCCACACAATCAGGGCACACGATTATCAATAATTTTCATTGTTTTGTTGGTGTGATAATAATAATAATTTCAAAATATAACGTGAGAATATATTTTTTATAATTTTTCGTGTAAACTAATAAGGTAAATCTTGAACGCTAGTAAATAAAATAATTATAGAAAATATAACAACATAATTGTGTTGCTACGTTTATACCGAAGTATATAAACAATCAACTACTCCCTTGGTTCAATTTGTGTGTCATGCGAGTTCTTTCTTAAAAAAAACGTCATACTTCAATATATAGAGCCAATTAATTTATATTTTCTTATGGTTAATAATGACCATATAGATATATGGTTATTTTAGTCTTTTCTCAATTTTTGTGTTCAGTTAAAATTTTATCACATCATTTGAGATGAAGAAAACAATACAACATAAAAATAAAATAGCCTTACAAAATACACTCGATTTTATACAAAAGACAAGATTGTATTTGTGCCTTACTTTCTAATTCTTAAAGAACTACCGCATGAATGTCGTAAAGGTGAAAAAAAAAAGAAGTAATTTTTCAAGCAGTTTCAGTTTGTAAGAACAAAATTCTTAATAAGAAAAAGTGAAGGTCGAAAATTAAGCTAGATAATTAATTAGTCGTATGTTACCATATTTTCTGTGAGCGAGAGATAGCCTTATCTATCTTTCTCCTTGTATTATTTAGTAATCGCATTATTCCTTTTTTCATGTATACCATTACATATTATTCACTTACTTTATAGGTCAAACATATATGCAGACCCTTAAACTTGTCCTTAAATTTCATTTTGACACTCTAACTCAACTTTGTTCCATTTTAACTCTTCAACTCCAATTTTTATATTCCATTTTGGCACTTCTAAGTGATGTGGCAGAGTGTGTGCATCACACTTTCTCTAAGAGAATGAAAGACAAAAAAAAAAAAACTGAAAAAATTATATAAAAGATTGCCCTTCAACTCTATTTCTTTTATGTACCATTTAACACAAAATACTAATTTTATGATTTCTTTATTTCTATATATGTTATTCACTGCAATTTTGCATTTTAAAAATCGGCGTCATCCGTTAGTTATTGTAAAAAAATAAAATTGACGGATGATCATTGATTTTTTATAAAAGAAAGTAACAATTTCTTTTTAAGAGTTTCCCTATATTTTTGCGTGAAAAATAACAGACGAAAGTGCACCAATTTTCTTTCTTAAGAAAATCAACGACAACCCAACAAAGTCTATCGAGTTTCAACATTTTTTTTATAGTGTTATTAATTAGCAATGAACATGAGTTTTTTTTTTTACTCGTATTTAGTTGAATGAAAACTTAGAAATTTGATATTTGAGTTAGTCTAAATAGATTAGATATAAAAAAATATATGTGGTGTTATTTAATTTAATTAATTGTTTTAAAAAAGAAAACCAACACACTTTCGTCGATTATTTTTCACACAATAATATAGAGAAACTCTAAAAAAATATTTCTTTTTAAAAATGATGTTCATCCATTATTATTTTATTTTTTAAAAGAAAGATATGTCATTGATTTTTATAATGAAAAAGTGGAAATGAAGAACATAAATAAATCATAAATTCAGTATTTTGTGTTTAAATGATACTATATAAAATTGACTTGAATGATTAAAATGGAACAAGACTAAGTTAGCATGACAAAATGAAAAATGAGGACAAGTTAGAGGAGTTGTGTATGTGTTTTTAATTGATTTTTGTGTCATGGCATGGCATGGCATGTGAAGTACATACATCTCACTTTGTTGATTCTTTGGAAAGAAGTGTCAAAATGGAACTTAAGGTTAAAATGGAACAAAGTTGAGTTAGATTGTCAAAATGAAATTTGAGGACAAGTTTAAGAGTCTGCACATGTGTTTGGCCTACTTTATATCTTATTTTTGACATTTGTCATATTTCTTTGATATCATGCTTCGAGTTCCTTCCGTATATTATCCTCTTTCGACCTCACTTATACATGATTTTCAAAAAAAATTCCTTTAACATCTCACTCACTTAATAGTTAATATTTAATGTTTGTATTGAAGCTCCGACTTATACATGAAATTACACTAATATGTTTGTATAGAGCATATAGTTGGACATTTTTCAACAAGTGATTGACAATAAATTATCCAAAAGATAGATTATGGGCCCACAAATGGGACCTACAGGATGACACATGGATGATCCAAAACATCTCATAACAAATGTGTTCTTCTTCTTCACACGTCAGTTCATACCCAAATCCACACAATCCAAAATTCCAAAAACCATGAAAAAAGCTTCCAATTTGCAAAACTAACTCCACCCCATTTCTCAAAATTCAATCTTTTTTCACTATCTGCCCAATTCTTGATTCTTAGATCAGTACTGATAATGTCTGTTGCAGCAATGGGCATAGTTTCAGTAGGCAATGGGTTTCTTTCACAGTTTTTTACAAGTGATTCAGCTGCTTCTACTCATCAGTTTTGTTGTTTTTCAGTGAATTCAAGCCCATTGCATATGAATTTTTCAAGGAGTGGTTGTTTGGTGAAAAGGGGTTCTTTGTTAAGCCCTAGAGTTTCAGTTTCTACTACTGGTAATGCTAAGATTGATGGAGTTGATGATCAGTTATCTTTGTCACCTGATGAGATCAAACCAGCTCGGGTGAGACCCTTTATTCGTATTTGCATTGTGAAAAATAGATAGATTTTTGACGTTGAAACTCGAAACTTGGAAATTTGAGTTTTTGAAGTTACGATTTTTGGAATTTGAAGTTGTGTTTTAACATGCATTTTACTTGAAATAAGTTTGAAATTTGAAGTTTCGTCCGAAAAATAGTGAAAATATTTGAAGCTCAGATATTCAAAATCGATCAAATTTCATGGCCAAATAGATATTTGAAGATAAATTTTTGAAAGCTACTCCCAAAATCTGTGGCCAAATGCTAGTTAACTTAAGTCTTTGTTGAGTTCCCACATTGCTTGTGGCATGGGTATTTGGTTTCGTTATATGATCTTGGGCAACTCTCAAGCTAATCTATAGTAGAGTATTAAGTTAAACACAAGGTGCATTCTCTTATCATGGTATTTGAGTCAGGCGCGTCCCGGTTCTCTTGGTTTCCTGCATCGGTTTTGGGGGATGGATAATATATGATCTTGGACAATCCTCAACTCATGGGTTAACAATCTCATTTTAGTGATTAATTTGTTAAAAGGACAGTCCATTGATACATGCAATTGTTTTCTCCACAATGATGATATCATGAGAAACATCATTTCATCTTCCTGAAGGAGTGGTTAATCACGGTTTGAGGAGTTAACAGTTTACTTTGTTGATAAATTATCTAATGAATCAAGAGGTAGAAGAATCACAGACATCTCTGAATGGAGAAAATAGATTGACTTGGACCGATAAGTTGAGTTAGAGTTGAGAGGACTTCGAGTTAACTAGTTAAAAGTCTCAGCATTTTGAATCCAAGGAATTTTTAAAAAAATAATCATGGTTCAGAACTAAAGATAAATTTGAAAAAAGGATTTTTATTTTTTTTGTTGGTTATGTGGTAGATGTATTGAAAGTGTTATTTAAGACGTGATTATGGCCGCACTACCGTATTACTTTTGCGAATATGTCCTTGGAAAATTCAGCTAGATCACATGACATCCCAATACATGTCATGTATCTTTGGAGTTCTGAGCTGAAAGATCATTGGTCTCCGCTTTAGTGATGAGTATAAACTATTTGAATTGTATTTCTTTTCATTTTGCTGATTCAGTACTATAGATTACCTTGTTCTAGACTTCCCTTAGATTATTGTGGTTTGAAGCGTATGTAATATAGTACTCCTTTACTACAAAGAATTAGAAGTCTGCTGATTGGAAAGCAGCAAGGACATACAGTGAGAGGGGACTGATATTTGAGGGCAAGGTTGAAGGCTTCAATGGTGGTGGTTTGCTGATTCGATTTTATTCTCTCGTGGGTTTTCTGCCCTTCCCACAGATGAGCCCTTATCACTCTTGTAAAGGTACTAAGTTCGCCTTTACAGCTTATTTTTTGTTTCGAATCACCATTTTGTGCTGATCCTTGATATTTCTAAGCTTCATAGGTTGATTAATGTATCATATGTTTCCACATAGAAGTTATGGTGATATATGCATACTTACCGAGGTTTTGTCTGTCTTTCTTATTACCCTTATTTTCTGTAGAACCACAAAAGACAATTCAAGAGATTGCGAGGGACTTGACCGGTTCTGTCCTCTCTGTGAAGGTACTGATCCTCACTTCTTTTCTTGAACTTTTTCTCATCTAAAGTACGAACATTCCCCTATCATTGTAGAATAAGATGCCACATTATAATATCTAGTGCTTACGGGTTGCAAAACGTTGTAAAGTTTCAAGAAAGTAAAATTACATTGTTGTAAATCTCAAATGATATAGCTACTTCTAACTTGCAGAGCAATCACAGGTTCTCTCATTATTTAAAAGAAAACGTATCCCGTCTTTACAGTAAAACTTAATGCACTAACCAACTTCGATTTCAATTACCAATTTCTTCCCCCCAATAGATCGTAGATATATAAGAAATGTTTAGTGTTACTGGAGTTAATTGTGTTCTTCCTCTACTTTCCTTTATGATTCCAACATCAGTTAACCTTTGAGGCTACTGTCAGGTAATCCAAGCTGATGAGGACAGACGACGATTGATATTCTCTGAAAAGGAAGCTAGCTGGTTGATGTTTTCTAATAAAATAAATGTAGGTGATACTTATCAAGCAAAGGTCGGTTCAGTTGAGGATTATGGTGCTTTTGTTCATCTGCGTTTCCCAGATGGTACTTTCTTAAGAGACAGACTTGCCTGTTGGGTCGTGTTTTAAGCCTGACTACTCGGGTTACTCATTTCAATCTTTGTGTCAACTAGTTTCTATTTTACCATGTGATGCAGGATCCTATCACCTCACTGGGCTTGTCCATGTCTCAGAAGTGTCTTGGGATTTAGTTCATGATGTCAGAGACATCCTCACAGAAGGAGACGATGTGAGGGTTAAAATCATAAATATTGACAGGTATTTTCTCATGATCGTGTTAATATGGACGTGTCTACTAATACCGTTAGCAGACATTTTCTTTAAAGTTCAAACAGATCACCTGTTGGCTTAGAAAGATGGATGGCCATTTTTTATCATGTATATGGAGAACTTCTTAGCCATAAGATGATCTGCAATACTCACTCTCTACCTTTGTGATTCGTCGAAATAACTTTTTCTATTACTATGGTGAATCGAACCACAATATATTTGAAGAAAATTCTGCAATGTAATGAACAATAAGGCTGTGATGTTTTGTTTATTTATTTTTATACTTTCACCAGTCACTTCCCATGATAAGTGAGAACACATTACAGGGAAAAATCTAGGATTACCTTGTCAATTAAACAATTGGAGGAAGATCCTCTGCTGGAAACTCTGGATAAAGTAATTCATAAGGTGAGCTATGCAAATGATCCAATTTCGCGTTTGCCTCCTTCATGAAACCTAAATTTTGCTTAAGATGCATAATACTGTTACTGACAAACGCCACACTTTGCAGGATGCATCCGTCCATACTAATTCCTTGGATTCGAATGGCAGCTCGAATATTGAGCCTCTTCCTGGGCTTGAAACAATAATCGAGGAACTACTGCAAGAAGACGGGTATGATTGAAGTTTAATTTTTGACATAACGTAAGATTTTATTAGACCTAACGATTGCAGTCTTTCATTATGCTATTATGTTTACGGGACAATTGTATGTACCATTATCTACACAAATACATGGAAATGTTTTGGTTAATTCACATGATTATTGAAGCATACCTAATAAGTTCTGTTCTTTTGTTCAATAGCATATATGATATAATAATCAGTCGACAAGGATTTGAGAAACGAGTCGTTTCACAGGACTTACAGCTTTGGTTGTCAAATGTAAGTTGTGTCAAACATAAACCATATATGATTCCTCAGTATTCATGCACAACAGATTTCCAATCTTTTCTGTTATGCCATCTCTAATAGGCACCAGCTACTGGGGATCAGTTTACTCTACTTGCTCGGGCTGGAAGACAGGTATAATCTTTTACCTCGTTCGTTCCCCTTTCTACAACGTCCCACACTCTTGCGAATCTGAAACGATTGTTAATGATCAGGTGCAAGAAATACAACTGACAACATCACTTGATCAAGAAGGAATAAAAAGGGCTCTACAACGAGTCCTAGAACGTGTACCATGAGTCAAAATACACGTACAACCCCAATCTAAAGTTTACGGAGAAGTTCAGATGGATCGTTATTTCAAGTTGTGCAGGCATTGTACAGACGTCTATAACTACTTCAAAAAAGTGTATAAAGAAACATGTTTAGAAACACATTTCTTCAGATATAGTTCCCAGAAGCTAAAAGACATATGAGCTGCACCCAGCGAATCGTCTTAATAGACATGATAACATGAACTCATGCAGTTTCTTGGTACATTGCTACCCATGTTAAACTTGATCAGTTATTTTTTCGCGTTTCTCCTTCTCTGTTTCCAGAATTTGCAACTGCCTTCTTGTTAAATTTGTTCAAGGTTGAGGTCCTCTTATTATGCAAGTAGTATAGATATTGATTTTGACTGACTGTACTCTTTATTACTATCAAACATGAGCACTGTACATGAGCTGCTATGTTCATACAGCATACAAGAAAACATAAACAAGTTGTTCACTTGTTTTACTCTTTCCATTTTCTACGCGTCCAATTACCCCTCTGAACTAGCCGGGAATGGACTTATTACACCGTATTTGCTGACATGGTATAGAGAGTGATTACACTCTTACAACACCATGAGAAACTGTAAAAAAGCACTCTCTTGGTCGATTACTGGTAAATGTCAGCCATTCTAAGTTCCGGGGCTTGGTCAATTAGGCCGATTGGATCTAACTGTAGCTTCGAGTTCAGGTGCAGTACAGGAAAGGAGGGAGACAGCTAACCTCCTGCCAAGATGCGAAGGTTGCTTGCTAACTCTCAATGCAGCTTCACGAAGATCGATTCCACAAATATCTGAAAGTCTGACAAGATGAAGAGAAATTCAGTTGTCAGCAAAATGTTGAATAACCCAAAGAACACATTTAGAGTTCAGATTTTTAAGAGGCACACTTGAATAAGATCATATATTAACAATCTGGAACTCTTCCTTTTCTCTACATTACAATCTATTGTTTTAAAACAACCACTAGTGTGTGCATCAGGGTATACCATCTACATCACACCTTTGGGATGCAACCCTTTCTCGGACCCTGCTAATGCAGGATGATTTGTGCACTGGGCTATCCCTTTTATTGTTTTGTTATCTATTGTTTTATAACCACTCCTAATGTTTCTCATTCATAGAAAATGCAAACGAAGCCACACATATAGAGATGCAGAAGACCATTAAAGTTGCAAACCAATGAGGCAAAACCGCTATATTATTATTATTCCCGATAAGAGCTACCACTGCTGTCTGTAATATACATATTGAGATGCCACCATCTAAGAAAAGCATTCTCCAAACAAACCTATCGAACTTAAATCCAAAGACCGAAATAAGTTGCAACCACGTTGATCAACAGTAACATAATCAACTCCTCCAATATTCTTTTTGCAATTGTGTAGCCTCCTTTTACTTCTCCCATATTGATCAACCAACTAGGATTGTCCGCAGGGAGTATGGACAAAAGATGGATGACTAGTACTAATCTTGTCAGTTCCATAGTGCACCACAAATAAGCATGCCAGTCTGGCCATTGGCAGCAGCACTAGTGACGGCACCGAAATAGGTAGGAGTGTCAAATAGGTAGGTAAGGGTCATCAGCTAACTGTTTTCAGCCCATTTTGACCCGCTCAAATTCAGGTAACCTGTTAATTTGACAACCCTAGTAAACCTACTGTTTTTGCTTTTTGTAGTAATACTGAGGGACTAACTCCAGTATGCGCGTTATGTTCTCAAAATTAGGTATCTTCAGTTTCAATATTTGATGTGAAAATTTTGACTCCTCCCTAAAGATCATTTTGAAGAAAATTGGAAGATTGATATGTTCCACTTAAACTTGGAACTGAATGATAGATATGACAAGAATATATAGGCCTTACATATTCCAAGTTCTTTAGACCACAGAGCTAAATACTTTGGAAACAAGAACAGCGGATTTATGTTCGGTGCTAATTCAGAACATAGAGGATGTGGACGAGCCTGAGCAGGTTGATCTCATGATGTTAGGCAGTATTATACAGGAACCAAATGTGTCACATAGCCAGCGTACAAGAAATTCCACAAAAAATTACAAAATTAAAGGGATTGTAGAAAAATTGCATGCTGCTGCAACATGAAATTCTGTAACAAATGAAAACTGAAAAGCATATGAATAAGGATGAGAAATGTACCTCGGAAAAGGACCTTCCAAAAGAATGCTACATAGATGTATGTTCGGGTAGAAATTAGAGGAAGAATCCAGATTTCAAGCCAGCGAATCCATATACGACTTAATGTTCATAATATCTACTCTGGACTTTGGATTATTTTGTGGTTTGAAAAGCTTCCACATCCCCACTGGATGTTGACTTCTTGCTTCGGTATCTCTTGAAAATCTTCCATACATTGATTCACACTCTGGATAAGGCTTTACATATAGATTATAAAATTTCATTCTACTAGGTTTAATCAACTCTCTCAACCCCACCTCATCACCAAGTCCTCCTATTGATCTTAAATGGTCAATTACCTTGAATCTTGGTAGAATATGTTTCTCGAAATTCACCCCAAGGTACTCAGGAACTTCAACAAGACACTGAATATCAACTTTCATCACGTGCAACAGAAACTCAATCTTCCTCTCAACATCGTCTAAGTTATAAAGTATCACTCTCGGCTCTTTCCATAACACAGAATAAGCATCCCTTAAGGTTATCCCGTGATTGCGTAAGCAATCAACCCTTAGTTTCACCTCATATCCAGCCTTAAAAGCCCCATCATGAAAAATATCCTTCTTAATAGCTTCCCTACATTTCAAACTCTTAAGCAGCTCCAAACACCGTGATAACTCCCCAACTTCCAATGCAAGAATTCTAGGATCTCTCAGAAGCTGTTTCTTAACCACCTCCATGTTAAAACCCAGAACTCTAAATTCATCAAGCAATCGTTTCAACTTATTTTGAATCCCATAGACCAAAACAGCCGGATAGACACGGAGAATGCGATCAAATTCAACATTGCCAATCCCAAAGGCATCAACGACGAATTCAAAACTGTCACGAACCTTGCCCGCACACATCGTAGTTACCATGGGATGTGTCTCCAAAACCTTATTTAGAGTAATATCACTAACCCCCAAATCCTTCAGACATTTCAAAGACCCCAAAACACAATCATAATCTAGTTCAAACTTCACCGAGACCTCCAGAATGTTCCGAATAGCCAAGGAGGATAAATTGGACCCTTCTTCTAATCCTCGGATGCCTCCTCCCCATTTCTTTATAGCATCATATTCTAGAACCCTGGGACAACTACTTATCATGGACACAAGGAATTCTTGAGATGGTTTCAAGGATAATAGAATCTTAAGGGAATTTTCAATTTTGGCGGGGTCTAGATTTAGTAAACGACGATTCTTATCGAGAAAATTGGTAAGTTCTTGAGCTGGAAAACCATATTTTTTCAGAAGACATGACACTGCAATGAGTTTTCTTTGGGGGGATTTTTCTTGGAATTGTAGAGGATATTGAACTTGAGATTTTCTTTTTACAGCTGTTGTGTTAGTGCAAAAACAGCGGAGACTTGGATTTTGAATTAGAGTAGAGGGATTAGAAAATGACATGAAAAAGAATCTGACGCTCCTACTGGTCATGGTTTCAGCTGGTTAGTAAGTTTTAAAAGGTGTCTGATCAACTATCCGCATTCAAACATTGCATTGATGGCCTAATGGACAACCCTCAAAATCTGAAAAAATTGATTAAACACATTAGCATAACTATGGTGTTAGTAAACTTCGTAAAGAAACAATTAACAGTCTCTCTGTGTGTAAAAATATAAACTGCACATTTAGCTACCCTGGAACACGTTTAAATTGTATCTTTCCACCCAGTTCTACAGTTTAGTCACATATTGACTCAACACCACCCGCAACTAGATATAGACAATATTGCACTCAACTCACATGTAAGAATTGAATAAGTCGAAATATTCAATACTGTTATCTTGAAAGGCTTACTACCTCTTTAATTAGTGGCAAATAAGTGAAAAGGTTTCTTCTTTTCCTTTTCTCTTGCATATAAACATATCTCGACTACAACTTACATTAAGGGGTGTCAAATTAACGGGGTTGAGCTGAAACTATGTCAGTTAAATGGGCTAAATCAACAAATGGGCGTGTCGTAACCCAAAAAGTTCCTCTTAGCAGATTAGTACTAGGTAACATAACCACAACACAACATTAGATGAGCACAACACACAAAAGATACTTCCAGTAAAACACGACAATACGGCCACAGAATAACCAAATTAGTTCAGATTACACTAGCTTTCAGTCGAGCATTTTCAGATTCTATCTGCAATATGTAACAATCACATAACCTATAGATAAACTAGCAGCATAACCTTCAGAAAGCTAAATCCATTAAAATATACAAGGGGAAGGAAATTGAAGGATTAAAATACAGGACCCATTGCCACAAAGTTTGAATCCTTACAAATTCAAGTGACTCAGCAGAACTTCAGAAAGCTAAATCCACAAAAATCAACAAGGCTAAGGAAGATAAAGAAACAAATTACAAGACCCATTGCCACAAAGTTTGATTCTTTAGTAATTCAAGTGACTCAGCATAACCTTCAGAAAGCTAAATGCACAAAAATCAAGAGATAAATTACAAAACCCATTGCCACAAAGTTTGAATCTTTACTAATTCAAGTGACTCAGCATAACCTCAAGAAAGCTAAATCCACAAAAATCAACAAGGGGCAGAAAAATCAAGAAACAAAGTGTAATACCCATTGCCAAAAAGTTTGAATCTTTACAAATTCAAGTACTTCAGCATAACCTCAAGAAATCTAATTCCACAAAAATCAACAAGGGGAGGAAACTAAAGACATAAATTGCAAGACCATTGCCACAAAGTTTGAGTCTTTACTATCTCAAGTGACTTAAAACAAGTTGCTAAAACCATGACACAAAGGTTTTGAGGATTGTTTATAAGAATTACCTGAAATCAGAAGAATTTTAGGAGAATGGCGATTACACTGTTAGGGCTTTTTACCATTAGAGAGTAGTGAGTACCATGAACCTTTGAACGCATTTTGATTAAGGCATAAAACGCACAAGGAACACTATTGGGGATTTTTACCTGGACTTCTTTTTCTAAAGGTTTGATTAAGGCATAAAACGTATTTTGTCAAATTATGAACAAATATTTAGATTGTTAAAGTTAAATTATTATAATATTCATAACTAAAAGTATTACTTTAACTTAAATGTTAAATAACTATATTATTTATAACTTAAAACACTCAATTATATCTATTTGAATAGCATAGTTTCTTGAAGAGTTGGGCCTTTATCGAAAGATTTTGATTTTTTTGATGAGTTGTGATTTTTTCGGAGGATCGTGATTTTTTAAATAAGACACAATAAATACACGTTCTTGCATTTTTAAATTCTTGTATAAATTACGATTGTTGAGTGAGTTTAAAGTATAATGGAATTTGCCCCTTTTACTCCCCTTCCCCTAGTGGCTCGATTTCATAATTTTCGAGTTGGAAGTCAGGAGTGCTTCAACTCCTTCTTGTCTCCTATTGTTGAGTGAGTTCGAATTCTAGCAAAAAATTATTAATGTTTTATCTCATATAAAAACTTAACAAGAAGAATTATTTAAATGTCCTTTTTAATAACCTAATCATCCTATATATATATATATATAATGGTCTATTAACTTTTTGGTTTTTTAAGGATTTGAGACTTTGCATTATGTGAGAAAGTATATCTTGTATAAGGAAATACTAGGTGAGTTGTGATTCATTATATGTATCTCATAAAATTAAAATAAGTACTCCCTATGTTCCAATTTATGTGGTATTTTTCGTTTTTCGAGAGTCAAACAATTTAAGTTTAACCGAGAATTTACGCATGAAATCTTCAATTTTTTTGAAATGAAATTTATATATTTGTAAACTACTTAAAAAGTATTACAAGTCACAACAATTGATAATTCAAAATGTTTAAAAGATCTATGAAAAATTTACGGTCAAAGTTAGACTTGTTTGAATTTCGAAATCCGAAAAGTGTCACATAAAATAGAACGGAGGGAGTAATAGATATTAAATGTATCTTATTAAAATTTATTTATATCATTTTTATAAGTTTAGATGATATTTAATAATTTTGATGTAGATATAAAAGTCATCACATGATAATCAATATTAAATTGTTAACAAAAAATTGCGCTTATAATTATTTATCTAAAACGTCATTTTAATAAATTAACGCGACATAGACTAGTAGCTCGACATCCTTAACCCAAATTTGATATTCAAAAAAGCAAGTGGTCCTACAAAAAAGTATTGGAGGGGTCAGTTTAATTCTCCAAGAAATCTCCTTTTAGCATTGGATTTTTAATCAAACACTTTCTAAAGAGATTTTGACACACGTTTTGTAGGATTTATTTTACCTCTTCCTAGGAGCTCTAACAACCTTCGGGTTGGAAGTGACAGATGTTTACTATTCGAGCAACTTTCTCTAGTCCGTTTTGTAGGATGAGGTATGCCAAGTGCCACAATTAAAAGTTTGAAATTTGAGCGTGAATTCGGACTTATACACTTATTTGAAAATCATTAAAAGATGTTTAAAAAATTAATTGACTCTCGAAATTTTAACCGTATCATATATATTAGGCCGAGGAGAGTATTTTGCATGTATGTAGGGTAGGGTTGGTACATAGTGCAACTTTGTCCACTGTGTTGTTTTTTTGTTTTTTATTTTTGTTTTATAAACACAAAAATGGGGTATTTTTCATTGTGCTTTACGATTTCCGGCTATTCTTGGTGATTTTTTTGTTGTATAAACTTTGTGGGAAAGCTTGTGATTTTCCTTACTCCAAATACTAAAAACAAAAACTCCATTTCTGTATCCTTGTTGTTTTCTTTATTGGCAAAAGCTACTCTATTATTTAGGCTTTTCAAGTTGAAAATACTAGATAAAACTATTTTCTTAGACGAATGTTTTGAGATTTGCATATAATAATAGTTATCTATAGTTGTATTGCATTCGATTTCTCAGTATTTCAAATCGTACATTCTCTTATTTTGGCTCAACTTGCCAAACACACGAGTGAGTCAAGAATCTATCGATTCCATTGGTGAGATTACACTTAGTATGTTAGTTATTGTTGCCAAAACATATTTTTTAAAAAGGCCATTGAGTCATTACTAGCCTCACACAATGCCAATTTTGGCATATGCTTTAAGTGACACAATGCCAATTTTGGAGTTTCTCTAAAGTGATGAAAACCTTCCACAAAACAACAGAAGCGGTCCAACCTATTCAACTGCACAGTATCTCACCAAATCAACCCATTCAGTCAGGCAAATTGGTTTGCCACACAATTTGTTTCACATAGAAACAAGTCACCCATCTCTTTACAGTAACAAACAAAATAAAAAACAGGAGGAAAAATCAAGCAAGTAAGAAAACATGTTATTAGAGAGCTTTACTCGCACTCGATATTTACATCAATACTATAGTGATGACCAGGGGCGGAGCCACCTTGTACGAAGGAGGTTCATCCGAACCCCCTTCGATGGAAAATTATATTATTTATACATGGTTAAAATAAATTTATATGTATATATAGTAGATGTTGAACCCCCTTTGGCTACTTTATGTGTCTGTTTCTATAGATTTTAAACCCCCTTATTGAAAATTCTGGCTCCACCTCTGGTGATGACATACACATTACTTAACCATAGTACATTTCTTTAATTTATATGTGAGGCATATGAGTACAAATAATAACATATTCTCTGTAATTTCACACAATAGAGTCTGAAAAGAGCAGTATCTAAGCAAACGTTACCTACCTCTACCTAAAAAGTGATGTAAAAAGATTGTTTCAGATTGACAAATGAGGTATGAGTTAAATCAGAAATGAACATAACATTCAGCCCACCACCCTAGATGGTGCTCATGCAAGACAACCACTAAGACTGTTCACCAATTTACCATTTCCCAACAACAATCTTTAGAACTACTATTCTCTCCATCTTCATTTTCATTTTCATTTCTTTTCTAATCCATTTCAAAAAGAACTTCATTGTTGTTCTAACTTTTCACATAACATGTTCTTGACAACGAGATTAAACCACATTTTAATACATTCCACATATTTTAGTTTATGACCATGCATGTAGACTATAAAATCTTCTTTACTTCTTAAACTCCTTGATAAATCAAAACCATACAAACAAATTGAAATGGTAGAGTATTATACTACATAAATCTCAACACATTTGTCTTGAGTTTCTACAGTATTAACCAGTAGGCAAAGAGGATATGGATAAAGCAAAAAACCAAACAATCCAGAAAAAGGAAGAAATTAGTTGACTTGATACATGTTACTTCAAGTCAACACTATATGTCTGTACATCCCCTTTTAACACAAAAACTATTAGATGTCATAGCTAGTCTAAGAAACTATAAATAGACCCTACTAAATCAAAGAAAGATCATTCACCATCATTAATCACACCATTTTCACTGGTGGAGGTGGTGGTTGTTGTTGTACTTTTGCTCAAAAGAGTAAGCTTTTTTGATGAACCTTTGCAAAGGTAAACAGGGTATTTAATGGCATTAAGCTCCAGTTTTCTGAGTACAGCATTACCTAGATCAATGCCACAAATATCTGAAAGCCTGACAAGATAGAGCAATACATCTGATAGCTCTTCACCTAAATGCTGCTTCTCTTTTTCTTCCCAATCTGGTAGACCTCTTGGGACCTCACCTTTCCACTGAAATATTTCAGACAATTCTCCCACTTCACCCACCTGGTATTCAAAATAAAGTTAGAATCGATTGTATGAATCTTCATTGACCATATAAACTCATTTTTTGCCAATATTGTGCAAACACACTATGTTGCTCGGACTCTCCAAAAATGTTGTCCTGACACACACTGGCCGACATTTTTGAAGAGTCCGAACAACATCACACATACATATACAAAGCATTAGAAGTGTGAATCAAAATAAGCAATACCACAATCTTCTTAATCATCACCAAGTTATTTATCCAATAATATATCTATACAACTGACACTATATGTGGTTTTTACACTACTAGGAGTAGTATCATTTACTCTCTCTGTCCACTTTTACTTTGCATGCCCATTATAAAATGAAGTTGAATGATATGAGCCTTTTATTATAATGTCCATTTTTTAGTGTTAGTGCAAGTGTTGCACTAGTTTCCATGTAATGTCTGCAAAGCTAAAATTACATAATGGGGAACATAAAATCATATGAAAGATTATTAGCACTATGCCTTTCTTTGGTGGGAAACAAAAGAAAGCTTTTTAAATTGGGGTTTCCACAAAATTGGAAATCCAAATACTCCACAATGACCCAAAACTGGCAAACATTTCTAGTTTCTATGAAACAAACAGAGAACTCTTTGTTCCATGGTTTTGTCTAAGGAAAATTAGAGTAGATTAATTGGATTTTTACCTTTCAAAACTCCAACACTTTAACTACCACCTCAACTTGGTTTCGAGTGACAACTAAACACTTGAACTGAACTCGTCCATACTGTGTGTCATGAACACTTGATACATCAATTTTAGAGGTATCTAGATAATCATTTTGAAATTGGGAATGTTCAAACGACACAATAAAGACAAGTTGAGGTATCTAAACGTGCACTATCAATATAAGAGTGCTTATTCAACAACTGCAGCCAAGTTTGAGTGTATGTGTATGTCTTGCTAATTCCACAGAAAAACACTTTTATCCTTTAAAATCAACCAAGAGATAAACAAAAGTAGCAATCTTGAAAAACAAAACAAACAAAAAAAATAATCAAAACTAGCATAAAGACTCAGCCATTGAGCAGAATAATTAAAACACTAGCTTTTCCTAAAAAATCATCCAGAAAACACAACAAAATCACCAAGAACAGCAGAAAATCATAAAACACAGAGAAAAAGACACCATTTTTATGGCTCAAAACATGATACACAACAAAACCCATAAATGTAGACAACAGAAAGAGCCCACAGAAGACAAAGTTGCACTATGTACCAACCCCACATACTTGAAAACCAAAAAAG